GGGGGAGGGGGGCGCTTTAGCGAGACAGGACCCCGCTGAGGCATCACTGGACATGGCAGCTCGAGCTTCAACACACAGAAGGAAACAGTACAGCCAGACAAAGAAGGTAGGAGCATCATGACAAGGGTGTTCTTCAGCTGCAGCGGGGCGTAAGTTTGGAGGATAGCCTTCACTGCATCCGGCCCATCCATGGGGGGGTTGGGGGGGGTGAGTGCAGCCTGAGACGGGAGGAGGGGGACTCACATCCGATCCCTCCACACGAGGAAACGGATGTGAATGACAGCCTCGTGTGTCTGGGAATGCTAATCAGGGTGACTGAGTTTGGGGGGGGGGGTGTCTTCTGGCCACGTGCACATCATTCCTGGGGAGGCTGAAATAGGGGACTCACCAGAGTGCTGAAGCTGAAGCTCTGGTCCATGCTGGACTGCGGCACAGGGGGGTCCGACCTTCCATCCATCTGTCATCTCCTACAATGGGGCAGTGCTGAGGGCCAGGGTTGTTGGGGGGGTAGAGTTAGGGTGCAAAATGTATAAAAGAACCAATTACATCCCATAATAGCTAATGGCAGTAGGCTGTCGCCTTGGAAAGCAGAAGATTGATATGCCCGCCAGGACTTCGGGTCCGCCGTGCCCATTTTCAAGCACCTTCGTTTTCATTTCCAGCAGACGCTGGCGGCAAATCGTGATGCTTTCATTCCAAGCCACACAAAGCTGTGAGTGAGATGCACTGACAGGCCTCATCAGAACATTAGAGCCCCGCTTTTAAAATCATTAACTGCACTGAATGTGCCCCAAACACAAGGGGAAAGAAACAGCGGATGACATTTCTCCAAAGCAGCTCTCTGTAACGTCGTATCTTAGCTACTTTCTGATTTGCTGGATTATGATGTGAAATTATATTTTTATTTTTAATGGATGGTTTTAAAATATAAGGGCAAATATTCACAACACTGAATCACAGCCATGAAGTTTAAAATCAAGTCCAAGACTTATGTAATGTACATCTAATGGCACGCAAAGGAACATTTTCCTTGTTTTTAATCGTTTAAGGGTGATAAGGGTTTACGATAAGGGTTAAATATGCTGATATGAGCCGTATTAAAAAGTGCCACGGTTGCTATGACAGCTGGCAGATGGTAACCAAGCAGTGAAAGATGATGACTCATGGATTTCTACCTCACCAGATGAAAATGCTATGAAAGATAGCTGACAAAATTAAGACAGACATGGTCTGTCCTGTAGTTAACATTTTCTTTTCCCGTCTATTTCATGAAACACGGCAAGGGAAAAACAAAAACATCTGCCTTCCATTGTACAAGATGGCAGCCTGATACATTACCATAGCAACTGTTGTTAGGAAGATAAAGAAATCATTTATAGAGAACCTGTATAGGCGTCATTAATAATTAATGGAAACAAACACGTGTTGGGAACCTTTGTTTTTTATGATGACTCTTATTTTCCTTATTAGAGTAGAATGCAGGGAACACGGGAGGCCTTCTATAGGCCTAATTTACATTTCCTGTTGAACGTCGTAGTCAGGTGCTCCAAACACTAAACCAGTAGACAATACATAAGGTGTTTCCCAAAACAAGCTCTGAAATCTGGTCTCAGGATTTCACCTCCGGTCACAACGAACATTCGAAGCCCCCCACCACCCCCTCTGTCATAAGAGAAACTGATTCACAGCCACACCCAGACCTCACAAATTCAGCAGGGATCACTAACGCCACACAGCTACAAAATAGACCTATATAAAGAATGTCAACCGCCACACGCTACCAGAGTGAGATGCGCGTGTTCGGCAACCGTGCGACCAGAGCGGTTTCTGCCTTTACAGAGATTTCATTTTGATAAGGACGCAATCTCGTTAACGTTAACTGTTCGTTTCCTTTTTTTTTCGGATGGATTGTTGGGCTGCATCGCAGGCGAGCAAAACGTGCAACTAAGCCGCGAAGTTTGACTTAATTAAGCACTTAACGAACGTACTCGCTGAAGCATCCAGTTTGCAATTCCACCGTCATTCCACCTGTAGCCGACTTTACAATCTTAAAAGTTGTAAAGTCAGATTCCAAAGACAGCCCACGTCGACCTAATCCTGGCGATATAACCCCGTACTCCAAGTCAATTAACTTACACCGGCATAGGACACAGGATTATGTTCACAAATTCCGAGCCATAAATTTATACATATTATATATATATATATATATATATATATATATATATATATACAAATTAATATGTATGCAAATCGGACCACGGCTAATCATGTTTGCGAGGTTAAATTATTATGTACATAAATTCACTTGGACATTTTAATTAATTAATTAAATTCATTTTAATTTGCTGGCATCACTTCCAACATTTCGCAACAGTTCAGCATTCATTATAAAGCGCACTTTGCATGTCATAACTAGACATAGGAGACGTAAAGGTTCAGACTTCCTGTTGATAGTTCCCTTGACCTAAAGGCGTATGTGTGAGAGCAGCCACAGTGACACGTCTCTGTCCAAATACATTAGTAAGCCTTTTAAGAAACTCCCTTCAGGCTGATTTAAGTAACGTGCCTGCGGTGGGGAGAGACTGCCCGGAATTGCTAAGAAGCGTCGAGTCTGCGGTTTTACGACGTAAGATTAAACATTAATCTGCTTTTCAAGTATATAGAAAGAAAGCAGCTTGATGAACAGGCTGATAAATCCAACAATAATCGTCTATCTAAGGCACAGTCATGGTGACCCCGCAGCCTACATAAGAATCAACAGAACACTCGGCTGGGGACTACTTTAAGAAGACAGCGCTCTTTCACAGCTTTAACATACACTGTCACACACTAAAGGCAATTCAGGCATAGGCACCGGTTTGTTTTCAACAAAGGCAGGGATCAAATCCACCCCGAACCCCCCCACAATACTCACACAATATTTATAAGCACATGTCCATACCCAAGTGTACACCCTTGAATTCAGGGACACACATCGACTGAAAATGCATGTCTTCAGATGAGGGAAAATCCAGAGGAAACCAAAACGGACACAGGCCCTTTACGAAACAGCAAGCAAATCTCACACACACACACACACACACACACACACACACACACACACACACACACACACACACANCACACACACACACACACACACACACACACACACACACACACACACACACACACACACAAAGCCAGTAATTAGGAATAACAGCATAGCTGAACTTATAGGTGACACCTCTACAGCCATATGTCTGTAATGTGCCGTCTGCCTCACTTGTACATCTCGTTAGACAAAAGCAACCGGTAAATGAAAGGAATCAAAGCTGGAATGCGGAAACCACGAGGTGGGGGGGGGGGGGGGGGTTATGGAAACCAGAGGGTCAAAACTCTCCAAGGAAGCGGCACACCACCCTATACACACAGATCCCATTGCGGACAGCAGAGCCAGCAGTGTGTACAGAGGGCGGAACACACCGACTCACTGCGTACTACCTCCAATGACACCGAGGACATTTCTTATTTCCATTCATGGAGTAGTTAGTGAGACATTTAAAGTGTCCTTGAACTTCACGCATGTGACCACCCCCTGTCACAATGGATGGAACCTGAAGTAGTGAACCATAGTACCAGAACTAGTATTTCTGGTAATATTCATTCATTAATTATGGTCTATACCCAGGGGCGGATTAAGGTGTACAGAGGCCCCTAGGCTACAGTAGTCTGTGGGCCCCCAACCCGCCCCCCTCCACGCCAATGGGGGCCCCCTTGCAGGCTGGCACACGTGGGGCCCCTAGGCTTAAGCCATATTTAGCCTGTGCGTTAATCCGCCCCTGTCTATACCATAGCATAGCCTATATGTAGTGTCGTTTTTCCAGCACATTTTGCTTTATTATCAAGACTGAAAAGTCAGATTCTTTTCTGTGACGATATTGAATTAGACGTGACACACCCACCAACAGCCCATGTATTACAGGTTTAACCAATCTGGTTTAGCAGAAAGGGGATTAAAGACGCTGGCGCGCACACCATGACAGGAAAAGTAAAGATATTCATGCACATTAGCACCCAGTTAGCAGAAGGCTGGGTGTATCAGTCAGCAAAGAGCCGTTCTCAGCAGGACTAATTTTACTTTCGCACTTCCCTTAGGCAAATAATAACTGGCACAAAAGTCATCTGAATGATACGCCACAGATCTCGGAAGAACGACCACATGGCTGAAAGTAGCACTGAAACATAACCAAGTGACTGGTCACCTGACCCGGCCACGGAACACTTGAAAGACGTGGTTTTAGTGCGCTTGTGACAATATGTGACAGTAACAGAAAGATGGGGGGGGGAGAGGTTGGGAGAAGAAAAATACAACCGCGCTCTTCGCAAACTTCGGGTGTAGCGTTGCGAAAAGTTACTCGCCACCCCCCGTCCATAGTACAAAAGACCTGACAGCTCAGCGCCAACATTCATCCATCACACTTACGAGTGAAAGAAATAAAGTATTTTATATATTATATATACACGTCGTGTGCCATTTTATTAGTCATGAAATACTACGATTCTGTTATCTTCCGACCAACGTCGCGAAATCTACAATTAAAATTTAAACCCTATAATTGCGCGGAAGCGCTAAAATTAAGCATTTTTTTCTAGTGTGACAAGGGAGGGGAGGGGGCACGTGGAAATATTTGCAGAAATCAGTTAACCACAAAAGTATCGCTTTCATTCATATAGCGATCTGATACCATATTCAGAAAAAAAACTCGAATCGCATGCAGTCCCATTATCAGCCTAGAATGTACTAGGCTATACTGAAATTTCTACTAAAATCTTTTTAACACTCGACAAATCATTTTCAGTTCTAGTACTTCATCGAATAGGAATAAAGCTATGGGTTATACTATTTAGTTAAAGGGAGTTTCACTTCCTGCTTAAGTGAGAAACACATGATCCCTGTAGGGTATAATAAGCATCTAACACCTGCTACAATGTCCACTCTAATCATAATCATCTAAAAACGCGAGTAGTCGATCGGTGTTACACATGTACAAAATTGCGATCGTAATCACGAAGTCAGCGGTTACATCTGAACACGCCGATTGATTGAAATCCATGGGGTTGGATAATCCTACACATTCCGACATATACATCGTGCGCAATGAGAAGGGCTACAAGAGAAAGCCCATCAAAGGCACCAAACAATGATACGACCATATCTGTATACAAGAAAAGACGATTTCCCATTATTGTATATGTAAAAACGTTAAAATACCCAATGCACCACGCACACATTAAGTCGCGACGTTGGAGTTTTCGAAAAAAAATCGCAAACACTCACGATTATCCCGTGTTACCATGATACCCATCTGTACTTGGCATAAAATAAAGCAAAAAAAGCTTACCAGCTATTCACCTGTGTGCACAGCCTGTCCCATGCTCCGCATCACTACCGTCACATGCAGCACATACTGGAAAAAAAGGAGCTCGCCACAATAAAAGGCACTATTCCAGCTCTCGCGCGTTGACTTTTTTTTTTTTTTTTTAAAGAAAAAAATAAAAAAACTTTTGTACTTTATAAAAGCATTGTCCAAAAATCTAGAAGGTAAAAAAAAAACAACCAGGCAGCGAAACTTTAGTCACCGGTGATAAAATGGCTGAAAGCTGTCCCTCAAGCCGAATGTCCTATAAGAAAAGGAGACATGACTGGCGATGCTTCCCAATGAAATCAGCGCAGCGGCTTCTTCACAGAGGGATGTGTCAAAAGGGGGAAGGGATGCAAGCCCACTGCTTCTCTACCCCGCAAAACAAGGCGCTACCCTTTCAGATCCATCACGGCCAGCTACCCAAACGCAGCGGAGGGTGTGTAGGAGTAACATGCATGGTTTCGTCTATGTTTTAGCGCCTCGCATATTACGGTAACAGATTAATATGATCTTCAACATCTAGAAATAGTCTATCATTTGGAACCCATAGTGTCGATGGCAATTAATTTACAGAACATTAGTATTGTTTTAGCCGAACATGATTTAATAATAATAAGAATTATAATAATAACGCTATTCCTATTATACGATTACAAAGCATGTAAAACTGACCAACCACGACAACGTTTATTTATTTGTTATTATTGTTGTTATTATCATCATCATCATCATTATTATTATTATACGACGCTGTTGTATAATCAAATGAATATTCAAGTGGCTTTCAACGCGGCTTCTAAACAAACACTAGAGGGCGATCAATACATCCATTATACAGTATGTCGTGTCGTTATAGTAACTATTGTTATAGTACCTATTGTAATGCTTGCATTAAGATAATGCAATATTTGTTCGTAACAACGACCTTAACCCTTCATACGTTTTAGAATGGATCACACTGATTATATATTTGTAGGGAGAGGCAAGCATAAAATTTCACCATAGTTATATATGCTTTAACCACTAGGCAAAAGGTGTGGCCTGTATGAAAGTAAGTGATCGCTGATTCAAAAACTACATGTAAAAATATTTAAAGGTCTTGAAACATCAGGGCAGACGAGTCCTACTAGCTATGCACACCTGTGTCATCTACGGGGGTAACTGCGGAACAGGTAAAACATTCAAGTATCTTACCCTGGATGGCTGTAGGGCATCCGAGCTCCTGAGCGCCACGATCATGGTGAGCAGCACCATGGGAGAGCTTGTCTCCGATAACACACTTTACATCTTTACAATGAGCTGCAATTCAGCTCCTGCCGCTTCTGTTCCCAAATGCCACGCATAGGAATACCTCACCGCAGAGTACTCGAGAACACAATTCCTCAATCTTCCAGCTGCTTATGCCGAGCGGGGTGGTAGGTGAAAGTAATACCTCTCAGGAAAATTAGGGGTAAGTAGGTCTTCAGAGAACCATGGAGAGAATGGCGTGTGGAGGTTATTGGCACAAAAGTACTTCACAGGAAACGTAGCAGCTGCATTGTGCAAGAAACCACAGCTATTAAAACTAGCCGGTGTGTAAACATGACTGGGCTGCTGGGCCCTAAAAAAGCCGTAACACAGTACAATGAAATCGGGTGTCTTAGGTTCTGTTTTATCTTCATGCGTAAATTACAGTAACTACAAAATCCACTCTACAGCAGAGGCAAAATACCACTTTTCTCAGTTTCGGCGTCAGCAAAGTTACTGTGTTTCAGATGTGTAAGGCCCTGCTGCTCACATGTAATATGGCTGCCTATGGCAGGGCTCTTCAAATCTGGACCTCGAATCCAAATCCAGGCCTTGTTTTCAGTTCGCCCATGTAGTTAATTAAATAATCATTGAATCTGATTGGCCAGAGGCTTCACATCTGGTTCCCAGGTAAAGGAAGGCTGGAAAACCAGCAGTGCTCGGACCGGTATTTGAATAGCCCTGTTCTATGGTTTTTACAGTGGTAGAATGCCATAAGGGCCTGTTTTTGTAATACATTCGAAGAGCATACACGTTTCTTAGCATGACCATATCGAGCAGTCATTCTTCCCATCTGGGGCTGGTGGGGGGGGGGGGTTCCCGATACTCTTTCGTAAGAAAACAAATACAAACATACCCTTGAAACAGTTCCATCCCGCGTGGTCTGGAATGCACATGGACACGCAGCGCTGTAATACGTGCTGCTTCTCAGTGCGTCAAGGCCAGATGTCATCCCATCTCCGTTTTTAAATAACTGGAGGAAATGACACACGAGGGCGTTTGAAGTCACAGTTGTGGAAAACAGATGGGGGAAAGGAACGGCTCTCTGACAAAATGGATTTGCATTATCCCCTCAAACGTGTGTATGAAGAAAAACAGAAAATAAAATAATCAGTTTGTGTAGCTGGTGCTCCTTTCGTCAGCTACCACTATTTTGTCCTTTTGAAACACCACTCACTTTCCCCCCAATCAGCAAGACATTTAGTGTGGGCTGCGATATATATCCATTACGTAAACATTATGCCCGTATCAAATGCTTGAAAACAATTCTAGTTGTCACGCTTCTACAAAGCTGATGAATTTCCCATGGATTTTGCATGTGCATCAACAAAGGCTTGTCCAGTGGAAAGTCGTGTTGAGAACTGAATGGGATACAGTGCATTCGAGCAATAGCCTCACAAACATACTGCAGGATAGCAGAGTACATGGCAAACATGCAAATCCCACAGACAAATAACAGCATACAGATGATTAGAGTGCTATGTGTATTTCATACACACACATATATTTTTGTATCCCTCTATAGGATAACCCTTCTCTGACTCAGCGAGATATCACCCAGGACTATATTGTCGTCCAGAAAGCATTCACGTTCATTTTAAATTTAGTAACCTAGACGATCTACGGAAGCACCAGTGTGCAGTAACGTAAATATAGGCGATGGAGACTTACAGAGTACATGTCGGTGATTTGAGTCCTTCATGTCTCAGTTCAAACTTCTCTTGCATCCTCTGTCAGACTCAGACGATAACCTCACCATCCTGATATGCACAGGGTTGCCAACTTTGGTCAACTGGTTGGAGTGAGATTTTCAATTCGAGACAAGTCTGCACACACATGCAGACACGTATAACAGCTTTATCACCTTGTAAGTAGTGTGTAGGGTATGCAAACTGTCCCAGCTCTTTTGATGTAGCTAATGTTAGTTTATAATGGAATAATACAGATTTGCCGTGAGATTTCTTGCGCGAGCGTGAGAGGCTGAAAGCGTGAGTATCACGCTAGATGCAACGATAACCTCACCTCCACGGTACAACCTTAAGCAGCCTTACCTGGCACGGATGGATGCCGCCTGCGTCACTTCCGGCTTACCGTCACGAAATCGCGTTGCCTGGAGGTTGGTGGCTACATGTTGGGCAGATGGTACCTGGTGAAACATACCTTTGCAGAAGATAAGCTTCATTCAGTCGCTGCTGTTCGGATAACGATTGGCGGACCGACTAGCGGGACGAAATAAGAAAGACACATTGGTAGCCTATATAGTGAACGGACAACCGACCCTGACCAGAGGAAGCGCTGCAGAGATATGGGTGTTTTGTATTCAGAGGTACGGAGTTATATTAATTATTTAATAGGATACTTAGTCAAAACGTACGTACTTTGCTGTGATTACAGGGTTTCTCTACAATATAACTATAGGCACCTATCCAAATTAAGTAGGCCTGTATTCAAAACACATTTGTTTCAGTACAACTTGATACTGTTAATTTAATTTTGTCGTACTGCGACAACGTTAAAAGTAATTGATTCCTTTTAAAGATGTTGGCAAAACATTATTGAATTAGATTATAGCAGGAATGGTCACCAGCTTTCACTCATTAAGAAAAGCTAATTAAAACTGAAATTAATTTAAAATAAAATTTAAACTAATTTTGAAAGCTAGCGCTGAACATCTGTGGCCAATTAGTCCCCCACGCACAAATGATTATACTACATAGTTTTTACTATAATGTACAGTAATGTTGTTGTGACCCAAATGTACATAGTATTGTATTAGGAAAATGTTATTTAGAACAATTAAGACATATAGTAAGTGTTAGAATTTTTTGTGCAGACAGTAGGTGGACATAGATATATCTGATAGTCACATGTGTGACCAGACTGGTTAGACAGGTTTTTTAAAATCTCTCTTCCTGCTTTTCCTTGGCTCATATTTGGAAATAAATTTTTTAAAAAAGAGTTTAAAAATGTTTGCAGTCTATGCAGACATAAGGGAAATATTTCAATGATATTATCTTTTTATTATTGAGTGATGGATCTCGTGTTATTCTCTGCCTTGTGCCAATAGCTTACAGGATAGACTCTAAGCCAGTACCCTGCATAGAACAAGTGGGTATGGAAAATGGATGGATATCTTTTTTGTTTTGGTGTGAAAATCGTATTTACTAACTATTTGTGCTGTATTGACTTCAGCCAATGTGCCAAGCTGCGTATGAGGATGACATCCGTAGAGTTGCTCTACTGATGAATGCAGATCCCAGGAATTTAAATGTTCAGGACGACTTGTTTGGAGATACACCCATCATAGCCGCCTGCAAGCGAGGAAATGTCATGACGGTCAAGTATCTTCTTGATCAAAATGCAGATGTGGAAATACGAAACAAGGTGCGGCGCAAGAGGGCTGAATGTCTGATGTTTGAAGTCAACACACTGTGCCTTTGAAACATACGAGATGCGTGAATTGTTTCATCAGTTGAGTGGGAGGTCTCGTGAATAGACTATGAGATGGTTTGGTTTGTGCTGGTATCAGAGATCTATGGTTAAAACCAAGTTACTTCTAGATAATGCGGAATGCAGGCCAATACTGGACACTCATCTGTCTAGACTACAACATATCTGCTAAAAAATATTGAATTTAAATTGTATTGTTATTTGAATGACGCACAAAACTAAGGTCACCATGGCAACCATGATACCAAAAAGTAAGCCATATTTCTAACTGAGAATAAACATAGTGGTCTCTTTGTATACTAAACATGTATTTGTGTGCAATAGCTTGTCAGCATGGCAGATGTTGTATGAGTGTGTGTCATAGTGGAATAAATGCTGTTTTATTTAATGCAGTGTTTAATATTATAGTGCATTTTAACTAACAAACGTCCTGCTATGTCTCTGTTCTATCTGCAGAAGCAGAGGACATGTTTGCACTATGCTGCTCGGTACACATTTTCTTTCTTGGATTATTTGATAATTGTAATTCTGATGCCCGTCATACTGATTGGATACCTCATAATGGTACGGATATGTAACTGTTCTGTCTGTAATGTTAAAAAAAGAAAAAAACAGTGTCAGGGTTTTTGGGTGACAAAATCTGTGTGTAGGGTTTACCATTTGCTAGTGATGACCAAATGAAGCTTCATGAACCATTTGCTGTATTTTGTGACACCACTAGATGGAGCTCTTTATTCAAAAAAGGGCTTAATGCATACCCAAATGCAAATCAAGAGCGCCATCTAGCTGGGTCAGAAAATCATTTGGCTATCACTACCGTTTGCTAATACACAATAATCAAGATATGCAATTGGTAAAATATTTTGTTCAGTATTGTGTGACCTATAGCCTCCTTAAAACTACCTTTAAACAGATGGAAAAGCGAAACAAGAATGCGACTCTGATGAAGCTGATTTTAAACACAAATGTAGACATTAATGGCGTAGATTGCGTAAGTACATAATTTTCAATTTATACAATATGGTTTGTGCGTCACCATTGTACTCAAAGGTACACAACGTGAAAAGAGAGCACATATTCTGCAGAATTTAGTAGGAAAGCTAAAACAAGAATGGGCAAGTTGCCAAAATACCTTAAATTGTTGGCTTTTTTGCACTTTGCAGAAAGGAAACACTGGACTTCATTATGCCTGTCAGAGAAAAAGTGACCGCCTTATTCCATTGTTACTGCAGAAAAATGCTGATCCTTCAATAAGAAACCAAGTAAGCTCATCAGTTTTTTTCCCCTCTAAAGTACAATACAGGAATCCAATGTTTGTTAATGTCCACTGTCATCAAATTAATTTTCTTTCAGGATAATGAGACTCCACTGGATATTGCCCAGAGACTGAAATTTACAAAGATTATACAAATGCTGAAAAAATCGTATTGAATGACAAACTTGCTATAAATCAGTAAGTCTGCCCTATCAAGCTGTCATGAAAAATTCACATTTGCTGTGCGTGGACCACAGGGAGAACATTCTTTCTGATGTAATCGTCGGTGGTTGCATTACCAAACCAGCTTCGTTTGTGATATTTTGCTTGGCATATGTCTTGGAAAAAGGCTTGTATCACTGTTCTAAAGTTTTAACACCATTTTTTAGCCAACTGTTACACATGTCCTGTTGCTATCAGACATCACATTATTTTGCAGTTTCCATGCCTTTTATATTCAGTGAAAGCTTGAGAATGATCAACAGCTTATTTCAAATGTGTCAAATATGAAACTATTTTTATTTTTTTTTTATCCCCATGTGATATGCCTGTGACTGCGCCTATTCCTTATAGATATAATGTTATGTGCAGGTGTCAAATGCAAAAAAGGGGTTTATTTTCAACTTGTGGCCAATGAAGTTAAAAAATAAACCGAAACACTCAAGCCTTATCTGCAATGGCCGCATCTGGTAGTGGTTTGGTAATATTGTGGTACATAAATGTCCTGTGGCAGGAAGCATTCCTTGGTACGGTGGAAACCAAAAGAATCTCATACTGCTGGGCTTTTATAATCATACAGTTTAATTCAGGACCACAGTTCAGTCAGTGTTGTTTACAGTTGCTGTCTCTCAACTACATGAAATGAATTAAACACAAACCATAATGTTCAAGGCAGAAGGCTTTGGTGAGAAATTCTAGTCAACCACACTGCGTCGTAGAATGACTAAACATCCATCTGTTATTTTTCCAGTGATTTATCCTATCTGCACTGTAACAATACAGCACCATAAGGCAGGGCGCACCGCCAGTGGGGAATCAGTCCACCAGGGGGCGCACATTATAAGGCACATAGGTGATCTTAAGGCAGAACTGTATGTACTTCGGGTGAGTGGGGGGGGGGNAATGAACATGCAAAGTAACGGAGGATTGCAGACTGGTTTCACCCACAGCCCTGGGGTGTGAAGTGATGACAGTATGTGTTGAATTGTCACCCTCAGTTAATTGTAATGATTCAAACGGCAAGAGGGTGTTAACACCCAAGTGAAGAGTTAATACAAAACAAAAAAAGCCACACACACAGTGGTTTGTCTTTCAGCAAAAAGGGGGAGGGAAACAGCATGAAAAACAATGCAGTTATGGAAGAAATTTTGAGAAATGATTAGTATAAAAGGTCTAAAACGTCAAACGATAAAGAAATACATTCCTGCCATGAAATGAATCCAATGGATTTCCTGAGTTAAAACCACTTAAAAGATGAATATCCATCATCTTTCTGTGACTGCTTGGGTCTGCTCCGCTAAACTCGCTTATAATGTGCTCAACTTTTTGGTCAGAAAACTGAAAGCGAACAGAGGGATCGAGATGGAACTTTGGTAGCTAAAAAAAAAAACCACAAATCCTGTGGCGACCAAAGTTTCTGAGGGCCGACTTCAGTCGGCGAGATCGCGGGTACGGTGGCGCGCTGCTGTTAAATCACACTCTGTGCCACACTCACGAACCACATTGCACAGCATTTCACAGCACTGCTTTCGGGCTTAACTCTGAACTTGGTTTGCAAAAAATAAAAACCTAATTGAATTGACGGCAGTTGTGCTCTTCCCAGAAGCTAGACGCTAGTCACAAGCGGCCGCGCCGGCCAGCATCAGGCGGCTCATGCCTGCTGCCTCATCAGCTTCAGCATGTCGCCGAACATCTCCTGGGGGGCGTCCAGACCCCAGATGAAGTCCAGGTGCTCCCAGTGCTGGACTCGCTTCTGGTAAACGAGGTTGGGGATCTGAGGGAGTAGCAAGGCCACGTCTTTGGGATCGGCCAGCATGTCCTGGCCTCCGTACCACACTGCCGTGGGCACCGTCAAGTCCCGCACGTGGTACAGAGGTGGGGTCGTCTGCAAGGCAGGACGGAGACTCTTTAGAAAAGTAGTGGTGCACCAATGTTGAAAAATATTACAGATAACTGAGTAATATAGATGATAAACGGCTAACCTCTGAGCCACTTTCCTAGCAATTTAATAATGAATTATAAACATGCCTCAAGCTGGTACTGATAAGCGGTGAATGAGTGACAAAATCCCTCGTCCTCTACTTTAGAAAGTGGCTGATCGCCCAATGACATCATCCCCTTATTTTATTAGCTGTATCTTTAGTTCTTTTGCTGCCATCGGAACGATATCGATATCTTGAATTTCAATGATTATCAGCCAATACCGATAAGATATAGCGTACATCTCTGTATTAAACGGCTGAGACCCGGTTTCCAACCTGAGGCTACAATTATAAGCCCTTGGTGCTGATGTTGTTCTAATACCTACAAATTTATAGTCACTATAGACAGAAGCATCTTCCAATCAAATAGATTATGCAACAGTCCACAGCAGGTGAACTCGACCATATTAACAGGCTGAGAGGCTAAGTGCAGTGTATACTGGAAATTGGGGTTCCGGATCTGAGCCAGGAGGAATGAGGCCTGGTTTGACCAGGTAGAGGACTGGTTCAGTGACTCGGCCTGAGGAACAAGCTAAGGCCCGTTCACCAGAGCGGCTCAGGTTAAATGTCTTCTCACAACTGCGAACGGTATATAAACGAGTACAGGGTTTTAAAATTAGAAGCCGTTTTGCTTAAATGCACCTGCGAAATAGATACATCCCCTTAAGAGCACTATCAGAAGGATGACGGTGTCCCACTTAAACCTCCAATATGCAATAAGAGATCTCAGTGGTGTAAGGTGAAAATCGTAGAACCAGCCTGAGGAGACAGAGGCACCAGCATATGGACAGCGAGGTTTATTCCTTCCATCACTGTTCTGAATGCAGCACAGATAAAATGTTACATAGAAGCGAGACTATGAACAGCCTCATGCGAGCTTTACCTGATTGTAATGAGCCATATTTCCACATCTCCCATAATCATAGGCCATCAGCTTCCCATGATGCGCAGCCTGGGGCAGGGAATTAAAAAAAAAAAAAAAAGAAGATACATTATTGCTTCCTGTGATTGGCTCCCAAATCACTACAAAGGTTTTGATGCACAAATCCAGAATCTGGCCCCACCCACGCAATCTCTCACAGCAGATTGTTAAATATAGCTGATTCGGTTTCATTAGTGTTTGTATTTACAGAAATAATGGGGGGGGGGGGGGGGGAATTAGCTCACTTAAAAGAATGATTTGTAATTTCAGTTTTCCAATAAACAGGCAGCTGTCGCATCACAAAGTAAAAGTGCATCAGTGATGACGGCTTTCTTCAGGGGTCACGTGAAATAGGGGTCTGTCCCCAGCTTGCTTCACAGCCGTGACGGCTCACGTGAGGGGGAGAGGAGATCAAAGGCTCCCGTCTTGGGCTTTAGCGTGTGAGCGCTGAGGAGACGTGGCCCACAAGGCTGATTAATAAATTGGGCTGCAGCTGTGAACTTAATCCCAGCAATGTGCTCAGGAGGTGAACAGTTTGGGCTGCCTCATTACAGTGATGTCTTACTTTGTCTTAAATCATACATTGTCTACCATTTCTGTCTCCTACTAAAAAACCCCAATATTTTCCCCTCCACATACAGATGCTCCTCGTTTAACAAGGGTACGATTTACGATAGCGATGCTCATTCAGTAGTCAACTCTGATTTTTTAATCTGTTCCCAGGCTAGTGTCTCGGATAGCGATATGCTGTACGATACTTTCTACTGATGCCGGCCGACGGCAGAATCCAGGAAGCCGCGCTTACAGTCTCTGTAGCGATCGCGAGCGTAAACATCCGTGTTTACTGACGCATCGAATTGTGTCTTTTTTCTGTGTTTAACCAAATAAACTTACTAATTTATTTACTTTTAAATTGCTGGTATTTAGTTGGTTATAATAATAATTAATTTATCATATTTGGTGACAGTAGGTATTTGATTATCATATTCATATTCGACAATGTTTTCCACTTATGAGTACGATGGGTTCATTGGAACTTAACCCCATCATTGGTCGAGGGGCACCTGTACATATTAATTCTAGAACACATGCATAGTGGATTTGATTTAAAATGGCAGTGCTTAGGTCAATGATACATGCACACGTAGGTCCTATAACTGGCTTCCCTTCCACGCATCCATCCAATCAGGCGAGATTTTGGTTTCCAGTACCTGCGACCAGTGGACCATGTTCTGTACAGACGTCCCAGCTGGGCAGTGAGTGGTGTACACAGGGATACGGGTCTGGAGAGTGGGACAAAAGTGAAGATTAGTAGCTTAAGGCATAATTGATGTACTTTTAGCTAAACATTCTCACATAGGCATCTAACGACTACCATTTATAGGATAGAGAAAAAAATGGTGTGTCGTCAGTGTCCCCTCCCGATGAAAGACACAAAATCCTCGCAAGTACAGTCCAGATATGGAGACCAAATGGACAGTGCAATTAAGGAAAAATGCTGCCAACCATGAGGATTAATGATAGAAAGACGGGATGTACCATATTCAGGTTCTTCTCATCAAAACCACAAAGAACGAAGAAGATATTTCCACACAGGGCGGAAATGGGTTTCCGGCTACACAGCTTGGTGGCAAACCACTTGATAATCTCATTCTGTGGAAGAAAGTCCTTCCTTCCGAAAAAGTCCTGTGGATTAAGATGAGGGGTTTTAGATCACCAGTTCAACATAGGACCAAAAGTGAATAACTGTGTCATAGCATCTGCTCCTAGCATTTTAAACCATCACCTTTTGGATAGGGTTTTTTATAAGTCCTACTCCATGTTATTCTAAATTAATGTATTGTCACAGATTAATTTCCAAACAGGAGAAGAGCCTGTGGCCAACATTCAAGCCAACAAACAGCTGGTGGCACTTACCCAAATAAGGAAATCGGGGAAAATGGACAACTTGACCATTGGGCTTTGTGCATATTTCACTGTGGCTACTGGGGCCAGAGCGAAGAACATCTTGATTCTGCTCGCTAGTTCAGGCATGGTGGAAAATGCAATGAAGGCTAGGAAAAAAAGAAAAGAATAGGGACACATTCAAACATGAATCCAAGAACAACATACAACATCTGTCACACATTAGCAATCTGGTACTGTCTTCTAGCAGTGTGTTGTCCAGGACGCAAAAAGATAATGGTCTGTGTTGGGTCTCTGAAAGTTCTTTGGCCCACTGATGAGCAAGAAGGCTAGAGCTGCTGGGATTATCATGTATCTAATTACTACATAGGTAAGTCTTACCAATGGTGGTACCCTGGGAATGACCCACATAGAAGATCTGCTCCTGGCCAGTGGTCTTTATGATGAAATTCACCACTGCTGGAAGGTCCTTCTTGGCCATCTCATCATAGCTAAAAAATGAAAAAACATGCACTTCCATTTAATCTCATCTATACATGTTTATACATTTCCATTTAGCTGATTTGTAATTTTAAAATCGAAGAGCAGGACTGCCAAAACTCATCTCAATCCATTTTTTGACGTTTTTGAGATGAGACTAGGCTTCTTTATCATACAGTTTTGGAAACGTCTAATTCAAATGATTGGGAACATCATTTAATCCAATGAAGAACCCCCCCCCCCCATTTTGGAAATATGCTCTTCAATAATACCCCTACTCATAGCTGGTTATTTCACTAGAGCAGGTTAAGATTCTGCAGAAGGACCACACTACCTGAACTTCCAGTACTCGTCCTGGTCTGGGCTGAGTCTGATGTGGCTTCTGGACCAGGTGTTCCCACGACTGTTCCCGATCCACACGTCATAACCAGCGTCGGCGAGGAAGAAGCCCAGGCTGTTATTGGGCAGACTGGTCACCCAGTTACTTCCAGCTGCCAGCAGCCCATGCTGTAGGAACACCACTGGGCGAGGGCCTGCCAAACAACAAGGATCCCGTCAATGCCCTATGCCAGGGTTCTTCAAATCTGGACCTCGATTCCAAATCCAGGCCTTGTTCTCAGTTCTCCCAGGTAGGTAGTTTAATAATTACTGATTCTGATTGGTCAGAGGCTTCACACCTGGCTCACAGGTAAAGGAAGGCTGGAAAACCATCAGTGCTCAGACCTCGAGGACTGTGATTTGAATAATAGGGCCCTACGCCTAAGGCCAACCCATCCATGAACCCATCTGCCATACTGTTTGACTATCTGTTAAATCAATTAAAAAAAAAATTAAAAAAGGTTCCCAATTACATCTTCAACTTGGGTAAACTGCACTGTGCTCCACCACTACTGAGAAGCCCATAAGAAAGAAAAAAACTTCACCATGCTTTGTGAGAGCTTTTTTGAAAATTGCGAATTAGACTGAATTAATACCACCAGGGGGAGCACATTTACTGTGTGATGGCAACCGCAAGCTAGCAATCCTCCAGAGAGCTCCTCACTCTTTCGTTTTCTTTTTTTGGGACCCTTATCGCTGAGATCTGTCAGAAACAGGATGCGTTGGTCTTTTCAGTAGTACAAACAGTCCCATAGCTGATAGGATTGTTTTACTTCATACCAGCCATTCTTCCACAAGCGCCCCCCTCCCCCGAAACACGCATACACGCCACAGCCACTCAAACCCTACCTTGCAGAACGAGAAAAGCGAGACAGATTTTACACTTTATGTAACCGCTGGGGGAGTCAATCGTTCACTCCGTTGCAGAATGAATCACAAGTTCGTGTTGAGACATAATGGGTTTGAGGCCGTGACCCTCCCCCAGAAAGTCATACCCCCCCATTTAGGCTGCCTGTCAGTGCGATGATGGTTTGCAGGATGCTGCCCACAAAATTGACATCTCCACATTGACCAGTAAAACCCCATCAAAATCTCACTGGACAGAGCACAAGCTTGACTGGATAAGCAGTTCATAAAAAAAAAATGGAAATGGAGGGAGGATTGACACAGAAGTCTTCCTTTACATGTGGAAATTAAGACAGTTACGCATAAAACAGGATTAGACTGTACGAAGACGGTGCCATGGCCACTCGCTGCATAGTTTCACATTTCGACGCAGCACCGAGAGCGGTGGGAATGGGAGGCGTGGAGACACATGGCCGCAAGTCAGAGCACTTCCCCTGCAGATCCACGGAAATCGATAGCGAACATCTGTAGCAAAAGTTATGGAGTTCTTTGCTAGTCTGAGAAACCTCGGAATCAATCCCCCACAATTTAAGGGGGGGGGGGGGGTGATTAAAATGGGGCATGGCAGAATGAGATGCTGTTCCAGTGCCAAGTTCATTGCACGGAGGGGACTCACCAAGGAACGTAACACAGACACACACACGCACACACGTATGACACCAAGTGAGGCACTCAGCTTGAGAGGCGTTTACTTATTTATAGGAAATATGAATATATCATGGAGGTTTACTCATCGCTTACATGGACTGTCCTGGGACACCCGACAACAGCACTGGAGGGGGGGGGGGCAAAACCTTACAGCCTGATGTGGTGTTTCTAAAGACAACCTAATCTCAGCATTCTCAGTATCCACTCGAAGCTCGATTTACATTTTGAGCAAACGCGTTGTTTAAAGCTCAGTAAGGTCAGCTGAAGTGCACAGCATTCATCTCCTCATTAATTTAATGAGATGTGGGGGGGGGGGGGGGGGGGCAGGAAAAAAAAATTAAAAATAAAAACGAAAACAGCATAAGGCCAACATTAGCCAGAGGGCTGTGAATCCACCTACACAGTGATTTGTATCGACAGAATGTATACATATTCAGCATTACACTAAGCGTTACAGTGGGGGGGGGGATTTACAGACACCAAATTTGTTTTGCTCTGTACGGGTTGTGCCGACGGGATTATGTGTGCTCTGGAAATCACACCACACCGCTCATCAATGAGACATGGGGGGGCAGCGAGAGCGAGGAAACCGCACACCGGTAGACCAGAGCCAACGAAGGGAGCCCGTATGTCCCGGGGCAGGAATACCAGCGCCCCCCCCCTCACGGGGAGGCCGTCCACACATTTGCAGACAGCAGCTCAGGGCAATTCTACGATTTAAATTTAAATTTTTTTTATTTTTTATTTTTTAAGGTGGGAGGGGCATAAGAGAGACCGTAATTCACGGTCACGAGTGGCCAAACTTATTAGCCAACGACGGTCAGCTCAGTTGGTGACAGGGGAAGGGGTCCTGAGCAGGCCAATCAGATTTCAGCTGCCCCTGAGGCCCCGCCCCTCTCTGTCAGACCTTCATCTACATCTCAGGACCTCCCTCTCTGTGGCGAGAACAGTGATTAATGTGCCATTAGGACGGCGGGGGCTCGTGGGCGGGCTCCTTATGGTGTGACAGAATGCTGCCTTCGCCTCCACACCCCATTTGTACAAACAGTATTCTTTCAGAAGGGATGGCTGAGGAGGGGCAGGCTGATTGTGATTGGGCAGTTTGGGGGGGACGGGGGGTGGCACTCAGGCTGCTGCAACAAACTGGACAGGCCGCATTTCGCCACATGGGTGGGGCTCATTAAGAAGAGTTAAATAATTACAGCCCGTATCTGGTAAAAGTTTCTCTGTTGGCCCACCTAAAAAACAGCAAGAGGAAGAAAAAAACAAACAAAGGCAGTTTTGTTTAATATTTCACTGCTCCTTTTCTCTCTTTGTAAATGCCTGTGAGCTATAGCCTACGGTGCTAGAATAACACACTAATAAATTCATCAGTTCTCAACTCTTAAAACTAGCGGCAGGTCGCATTTGGAGGACCGGACACCTCCAGCACATGTTATTTTTCCTGTGCGGACTGCGGTTCAGGCTGTACCTTTCTCCACACTTCCTCTTATTCAAAAGGCCGTCGCTAAAACGAACACAATGCGCCCTATCTAAATACTCAAAGGCGAGGCCTTAACACAGGCTGCATTATTTACGGCAACAGGTGGATGGAACGATGCCCTGTTTTGAGCTGTTCCCTTTGGGAGGTTCACACACCGGGCCCTCGCTCACCAGCTGTAAATATTTCATTCGACAGACGGAGGAGGATGCCACGATGCCAGACAGAAGTGCAGGCCCTGACCGGCGAGGTAAGGCATGCTATTGACTTGCTTTAATAGATTCAAACTAAAGTCTCAGCCGGCGCCGTCTCAATCCCGGCCAGATGACGTCAGCTATCGTCTGCCGGCCACAGCTGAGCCAGGGACAGACACAGCAAATTTCCAGACTACAATAATAATTTTAAAAAAAATCCTACTTTAAGCTTAAAGTTTAGACAGTAAGGCTGGGGACGCACTCCAAGGATGAAACCTGTGCCATTCGAACCAACCAAGGGACTCAAACCAACAACCTTCAGGCCTGTAACCACTTAAAACAAAATACTGTGGGCTGTTCAGTTGCTTCCAAGACACTATCTGGAACGTTTCTTTCACTTTAACAGAAGGGACAGTCGAATCCTCACAGAAATTCAGACAGAACTCAAGTAATGTCTTCTGCTGCAGATATGACTAAAAATGTATCCCACGCTATAGACCGGGGGGGGGCAATCTTATCCTCAAAGGGCCAGTGTGTATGCAGGTTTTTGGGGTAACCTTTAGGTCAGCTGTTGAAACTCATATGTGAGGACTCTTCAACCAACCAGTCCTCTAATTAGTAATATAATTAGGGGATTGCAGCAAAAAACAAAATAAATAGCAGCCCTTTCTGGATAAGGCTGCCCACCCCTGCTATAGCCTGTACATAATTGTGTATCGTACTGAACAGAACATAAAGATGTCAATGAACGTTTAAAATGTCAATTATTAATAATTTTCTTCCATTTCATAAATAGCAGCAGAACGGCTTTGTTGTCGTTTACTTTGAAAGTACAGAAACGTTCACAGGGTGATGGGACGCATCCTTTAGCTCTATATGCTGTTGACACCGAAACCAAGTTCACATACCACTCATTCTGTCCATTCTGTAACACTGTCACCTCTTAGTGAATTTTCCACATAATCGTGCCTGGTTTTGTGCTCTTACCATCCATTTGTATTTACATTCATGTGTGTAACATATGCTTTTATCTAAAGCATCCAATTGAACATACAAATCGAGACTGGGATTCGAACCGGCGACCTTCCGGTCACAGCCATAGAATTGTTACCCACCGAGCCATTACAGTACAGTATCGCCAAAGTCATAAAAACAAATCATTTCAAAAAGAATTAATTCTTTTTTCAAGTGATTGGTTGTGAGCACAAGTCACGATTGACGGCTCGGAAAGGGAAAGGGAACGTACCACGTGATCACCGCAAGGCAGCAGTACTCGTAACATGCATGACTCATGCAAAATTTTCATAACTCCTTTTCCATAACTCGCTTTTACTACTAACCTTTTAGTTAGCAAGTCCCACATTATGTAAGTCACATATTATGTAACCAGAGGTATGCCTGTGTATAAATATACATGTATATTTTGGGAAACGACTCTTTTCTATGTTGAACACAACATATTAAGCCTCATGTCACATGAGACCTTTATATTGAAGCCTTTTATCACAGATTTTAAGCCATTTTGGGGGGGGGGGGGGACAGCTCAATGACTCACAGATGATGAGTAATTAAGTCTCAAAATGTACAAAAGATTAAGATGAGGAGTGAGAAAAATTAGCCAAAGGGCTGGGTGATGCAAGGGAAGCGTTTCCCAAAATAAAACTTTTAAAGGACACAGCCTCTTTTCAGGTCAGCAAGTCTGGCAGAGACAGGGAAACCAGACAGTGGAACGACCAAAGCTCAGCCTCACCTGTACAGTACAGTTTCCCTACTAATGGTACCACCTTAAAAATACAGTACCATGTATAGCTCGTATACGGTGTATGTGTTATTGTATGTATTATTGTAATTTACTGCGTAAATTTAATACACGTGATGTGTGTAGTACCCTGACCTAAGGGAAAGAATGATGTTTGGCATCTGCCACACACCTAGAATATGAAGAAATGACAAAGAATCTTGAAGGTGAGGCCTATACCATGTCCTACTACACCATGACTACTAATGACTACTAGGGTACATGCTGGCCCTAACCCAGTACAACTGGCAAAGACTTTTTAAAGGCAATTTTTGAAATAGGCAATATAGAAGATCAGCAGTAATCTGGCGGACGTGCGGCTAGCTCCTTACCTTCCACCGGCTTGCTCTTCACACCATGGGGGATCCTGTTGACGCTCAGGATGTAGCCGTCTTCGGTGATCACCTTGTGCTCTTCTGCCGGGTAGCCCCAAAACGATATGAGCTCACTCTGCGGGGTAGGGGGGTGGAGACAGGAAATGCTGCCATGATCCATCTGAGGANGGTTGGAGACAGGAAATGCTGCCATGATCCATCTGAGGATTGAGCCGAGTGACGCTGCTGGCAAAATGAGGATGGGGATCCGTTTTCCCGCCACCCAACCAGCACCAGCACACTGACCGAGAGACCCAATCATCTGAGGAAATACAGCGGCAGGTAGAAGTCGATCCCAGCCAATCGGGTTCAAGGTAAATCCCAAGGGGCAGAAAAGCACAAATATCAAAGGGGCTTATCATTAGGACATATCCTATATCTATGTTCATGGCTTCAGCTGAGTGTTATTTCTACATCTGCTCGTGTTCTTCTAACGTAAAAGGCAATCATCAACACCATCCACCTGAATCACAAGCAGGAATACAGCTAATGTCATACACACATATACCCAAAAACAACTAGCGTTGCTTCTGCCAATGTTCACCCACAAAATCATTAACAGCTTGCCGTTTCTAGAATCCAATTCCTTCAGAGCGTACAGTCGCACCGCTCCAGTCCCAGATATGATATAAATTCTAATCAGAAACTTCAAAGGAAACGCGTGAGCTTGTTGGATCCAGGACTGCCGTTGCAATCTATCCATGCATAATTAAAGGCGCCGCGAACTCCCAACTCCCCGCGGGTCTCCGCTGGTTCGTTTTACTCTCGGCCACTTAAGGATAAGCCCAATGCTGGTTTCTCAGTCTCATCTGAATGGCCGAGGGAAGACTCGAATACATTAATGTTACACAACCTCACTGTGAGGATCTCGGCGGACCTGCATGGAGCAGAATTCACAGTTCGGAGACAGATAAGCAATCCTTGTATATATGCATGCAAATTAGAAGAGTGTTTTTTTTTTTTCTGTGACATTGTTCAATCTATTATTTATCAGCGGAGTATTCAAGATTTTTGGGAGGAAGGGAAAATTAAACAGTAAGAGAAACAATGCCAGATGGAGGCAGAGACAAAATCGCGATAAGAAATGGCCCAATAGCTCACAGGAACCTTGGAGTAGACCGACATTATCGTTCGTGCCTCCCCCAAAAATCGGCATGTGAAAACATTCACACCCTTTGTACGCAAATGTGTTGGAATTAGAACAGTCAGATAATAAAATGAAAGAATAAAACATACTAACATTAGATAACATCTATAAAACCCATAACCCATTAAATAAATAGTTACTTTGTAAAAATCAAGCAATTTAATATGCATTGCTTTAAAAATGCTTTCAGATTGAAACAGGCCTCACAAAATTCAAGTAATTTCCTTATTGGGTTAATTATTAAACTTTTTCTTTTTCCAATAGTCATGCAGTTCATTTCCTCACCCTATGGTGTGTCATAAGATAGAGGACAAAGAGTGAGATGTGGGCCAGAAAAGCAGAACTGCCCACGCAGACTCATGTTCCAAATGCCGTCCCAATTACAAAACCCTACAGCACAGGCCCAGGGTTGAAGTAAGCAGGGGATTAATCAGGAATCACCTATCAAAGATGGAGTCAATTTGAAAAAGAAGGGCAGCACACATTCAATAGTAGGGGTATACATCTATTGTAAGCTCCGCCTCCATTCAATTTGATTTTGCAAGGCAGAGATTCGATATCTGGCGAAACGTTGCTGCGATGCAATTTGATTCAGTTACATATATATGATCAATATTTTCAATACGGTGAAACATACTGTAAGCTGATTTTAGCGAAATGTATTTGAATTTAAAAAGATATAATGATAAACGTTTACGTTTTTACTTGAACAGAATGTTGGAAAAAAAACTATACGTCACAAAAAATATTATATTATATTCCACCTTGTATTTTAACAAAAAAAAATATTTGTGGATTGGCATCTCTTACTCTCTCAAAATGTAGGAACATATAGGTGCACTGAACTACATAAAACATAGGCTCACTATAATGTAATGCTCTGTACTGAGTCTCTAGACAGCTTTGTGTGATTTTCACAGATTTTTTTTTCTTTCTAGATAGCGTTTTGGCATGTCGCTATGGTTTAATGATATGAATCGATATTTGTTAATTGAATATATATTGTGGCCTTAACAACTGATGTATCAATTAGAATCGATGAATTGTTATACCTATCCACAGTGTCTGCTCATAAAATTCTCATTCCTGCAGTCTGACTACCACTTTCTAACCTTACTTACAATGTTCATGTTGACTTCTGGGTCCACGGTGTTTTTCAATAATGTCGGCTTACACTGGACTGCCCCTTGTATGAGAAGAGCCGCGAATGGCAGGAACCAGGCCATCTCAGCACTGCAAGGCATCAGAAACAACATTACTGCGATTCCTGCAAAAGCAGTTCCATTGCAAACAGGAGCAAATAAAAATCCACCCATCCATTCGTGCGAACGTGAACAGACCCTGATGTGAGGCGACAGAGAACCTTGAGGCATTCCCAGGATACTATGATGTGCATTTTATTGACTATTTACATTTCACTGGCAAAGTAATGTGCAGAAGCAACTATAAACTTACCTGTAATAAGCACATTAAACCAGAGATAATACAGAAATGTAAACTAGTTAATACAGCAGTAGGAATACGGTCAGCCATAATTATCAAAAATTAAATTTTCAGCTAAATTGTTCATTGAAATAGCACGATCTAAATAATTTCCGAAGGTAAAGCTGAATCATTGGTAATATGACATAATTGATTATCTTCAGTCACAATATACAGTGGTCACATAAAAGTTCAATAGTTCATATTTAAAAAGCAATATACAAACATACGTTTACATATGTTAATTCAACGTTGCGATACACAACAGACTGTTCGTAATAGAAAGATTACAAAACTAATAATTATTTCAGGTACTTCAAATTCAACCATCATCGTACAAGTTACTAACCATTCTGTCGGAATTCTATGGCAGTTAATTAAATTGTTTTTTATTAATTACCCATTAGTACAAGCCGCTCGTTACTAGGGAGGCCAAAGTAAACACTCTCACTACACAGAAATAGGCTAGTAATTATAATAACAGACGTAACATCTCGGGAAGAAAGTAAAGTCGGGTTCTGGTACCTTTGATGCAGAAGCGTAATTAAAATAAACACATAAACATGCACGTATTACCTAAAAAATAAAAAATAATAAGCAAAGTCGGAAACAGTTTTTCGGCATGACAACCACAGCCGCCCTAGTTTGCTGGTCCGACTTTCATTTATCGCCCAGCCACAGGAACAAGTCGGGTGACGTAATGTGTCACGTGACGCGGAGGGGCCCCGCCCACCCGCCGGCGCGTGGTCGCCGTGTGCTGGCCTTCTGTAACCGGGAGCAGCAGAGCGTCAGCGGAGTGATGTGCGTTTGTTAGGGAAGAATACAAAAGATCCAGATCGCTTGTTACTCTCTAGACGTGCTGCAGAATACAAGTCGTAGAAACGATCACATTGTGAAGTATTCACTTGTCGTAATCAAAAGTCTAATACTAAACTTGACAATTTAAATACACGGTGTCAGAATGGAATGCAATTAAACAGTTACAATCAAGTTTAAATTAGCATTAAGATGGGCAATTCAGCTAACCTGGAAATTTGATTTAACATATTGCTAGACTTTAGAGATTAAATTGACACTTGACAGCCACTGGTCTAATTTCTTTAAACACAGGAATGTTTTTTTGTTGGCCAACAATAAGAATACTGTTCTGTAAGAAAATTAGGTCAAAGTTCCTTTTCAGCCGCTCCGAAGCCGGCATTGTCTATCACAGTTTTATTATTAATAAAACTTACATTGTTTCCAACTACAGACATGTCAAGAGTGCTTGTAGTCGGCGCAGGTCTCACGGGCAGTTTGTGTGCTTGTCTTTTGCGAAGAGAAATGCTAAGTAAAGTGCAAATTACTGTCTGGGAAAAATGTCACGGAGCAGGTCAGTTTAAGAGCTGGTTGGTTATATTATAGCTCTGTGCTGCTCGTGATCTTTATGTAAGTTTCACAAGCTTATTTTTTTCACATCCAGCATAACATTTCTCAGATCTACCGTTTCACGTTGCAAAGATCTGTAAGTACTTGAGGGAAAATCATATTAAATTTACCCGAGCTGTGTCGTGTTCACTCCCACCTGTTTAATAAAGCCACACCATACTGCAATTACTCTGATATTTTTGACAAAGATTTCTCTCATGCTATAGTTATGATGATATGGTCTTGCATAATTAACCTTTGTGAGAATGTTATCTATATTTTCTATTTGTAAGATAACCAATTTATTCAGAATTTTGTGTCAAATAATAACATCTGGTAGGTGTGAATTGCAAGTTAGACTTGGTGCTTTTCTGAAGGAAAAAAACAGACAGTTAAGATATCCACCATACCTTTAAATGATATGCAACTATCAGATAAACGCATCTTTTATTAATTTATGCAGTTCGTTCATACATCGAAGGATTATACATCTCGCCTAGAGCCTGGCTCTGAAGGAGGTGATATTCTTATTACAGGAGGAAGGATGTGTACCAGTACCAGCCCTGCCGACCCCAACTGCACAGCTGATCTTGGAGCGCAGTACGTAACAGCCACGCCATATCACATCGAAACACATGGAAGGTATTTAACTAAAGAATATATCTTACTTAAATCAAATGTTCAGGGACCATGGCAAATGTTCTGGTTCGTCATAACTGGGATCTGTTTATATAAAACACAGTGTTGGGGAGGTTACTCACAAAGGTAATCCGTTACAGACAGTTCAGGTCCAGAAAGTAGAAATCCAGACCAAGGTTTTGTTTCAACCAACCAGTATCTGCAATCCTACGAAGGTAAAGGCCAGATTGTGTAATGGCTACGCAGTGCTCTCTCACTGGCTGTTTAGGTCATGTAACCTAAAAGCATTTTATTTTGTGTGTGTTGCTGACAGGCACCGTGAAATCGTCTATTACCATGTGCCTCTTCAGAGCCCAGAATATGCTGCTGAGAGTACCACTTTAGTCTATAAAGAGTGTCCAAACGTAATCTGTACTTTTTACTTATATTTTATTAAGGTTTTTGGCAAGGAGCCAAAGGTGTCCGACTGTGAGTGCTGGCTTTTGTGTTGGGTTAATTGTTCTATTACTTAATTATATGAACTATTTATGCAAACAGTTTTCTGTTTCCCCCAAAATACAGCCCTGAATAGAGTTTTTTCCCCCAATTACAGGATAGAATAGATGTAATTCCAGATGTGTAGCATAAAAATCATGCATATCACTGTGATGGAGCTCATTAAATGGTTGGGGCTTGAGGTTGGTGTAAAAGCCTGCCTGTACACAGCCCTTCAGGAACTGAGTTTGACACCACTGCCTTAAGCTGTCTTCAGCTTCTGGTTCTGTTTCAGCACCATATTTCCTCAGTTTGACAATAACTGGAGTCATATGGAGAATGAGAATCTCCCCCCCCCCCCCACACACACACACCCGAGAAGAACATATGCCTTCAACTTGCTGGAGTTTAGCATTTTACAAAGTAATGGACGAAAGTCATTTCAGAGGCCGCGAAATGCTTCGTGCCTGCATTGTATTTGTATTGTAACTAGGTCAGCATGGCTTGTATTAAACCGGAATCCCAAAGGTAAATCAGTGCTCTTTTTTTTGTGTGAATGTGACCACATATGTGCCCCAGCTCCAAACTCTTCTTTGCCTGACTTTCTATTTTAGTTATAAATGATCTGTACTGTATAAAGTGTGAGTTTTAACAGAAAAAGCAAAAAAAGGGGGAAGCATTTCTATATAAAGTTAGTTGCAAAATTCAGGCAATATAATATAGTGGAAAGAGGAAGATCAGGAAAAATGCATTATCATTTCCTATTATTAGATGTTATGGGCTAAAATGTTTTATCTGCCCAAAATGTGAACTTTGGAATATATTTGTTGGATGTAACATTTTGGAAGATGTTTTTCTGGAAGAAGCAAAGTTTTTCCATGTCAGAGTCTGCCAAGTTATACTGTAGATTTCATAAAAAGGAGGACAGTCTTACTACATTAACAACCTTATTAATCTTTTTTTTTAAAACTTAATGTGCAAAAATAACCTCTTAGAGATTAGGCATATAGCATGCAGTCTATCTGATTTTCACTCATATGGTAACATTAATTTCCGAGTGCCGGAACCAGAATTTCAGCATTGCGGAACATGTCCTATTTAATTTATGTTCCTCAGTTTGTGGGCAAAACATCAAATAGTTTTAATGACGGCGATCATGGTTGTAGTATATTACCCCAGTTACCGCAGTATCTCCCAAGAATTTCCCTTTCATTTTTCTTTCTGTACTTCTCTGGGAATCGTGGAGTATCAAAGCGGTTTATCTGAGTCTTCATCTCCTCTCTAGCTGAACAAGGGGTCATGTGACACGTTAGCATTAACGTCCTCGCATGAAGTTGGCCTTGGATTCCTTCGTGTTGTTCATTTCATCCTCTTGCATTGGGAGATGTGTGTGTGTGTTTCCCCATCCCTAATCTTTAATGGGAGATTAAGATGGGTGTCTTTCATCACTAGTGGCCATTTCTAGGGGATTAGCTGAACATTTTGGGCCCCATGACAAAACATCCCGGGCCCCCCCCCCCCCCCCATACATTATGTAATTTTACATATTCATGGGCCCCTGTAAAATGCTGGGCCCCCTGAATCTGTCAGGTTATCCATGCCCCTCCAAAACCCCTGGCCATTTCATTTGTCTTCACCCCCCCCCCCCTTTGACCTTTAGCCGAATCCCAAGTCGGCCATGTCCCTCTGTGAGGGCCCATCCTCCCCGGCCGCAGAAGCTTGGGGTTGGGGCACGGGTGGGCAGGAACAGGCCGTCTTCTGAGTGGTGCCGAGTGCTTTTTTAGCGGCAGAGATTATGGGGTGGAGGAATGGAAGGGGGGTGGTGGTCGGCGGGTCTGTTTTTTTGATTGCAGTTCTTTTTGAGTATCAGCTTCTACGCGGAGCTGTCATCACACGGCATTTTAAGGCCGCTGGTGGCCCCTGTGGAAGGCATGGCGATGAAAGAAGAAGGGATACGCAACTTCGTCACCCCGAAGGGAGCCTCCTCCATCGTCAAGCATTACCTGAGGGAGTCAGGTACCTCCAGGGCCCCCGGGGTGCGGGCCGCCGCTCTGACTCACCCGCCTCACGCTTCGCGGGGAAGGAAGCGGGGGTTTCCGGCCGAGACAGCGGCCTGCACTGACCTCGCACGGCTCCCCTCTCCCCTTATTTGTTCATGCAGTTAAGGAGACTCTTTGTGTATAAGTCAATGAAAACAGTCACGAGGCCGCTTACGCGTAGTTTCCCGTGTGTTTATCCACATGTTTATCCAGTTCCGGTGATATTTTAAACAGTTCAACAGTATGAAGTCATTTTTATGTTGTTCACAGTTATAAATAATTGTGGCTCTGTGAAGGTTAGGGCTCTGTGCCTGTGATCAGAAGGTTGCTGGTTCCAATCCCAGGGTCGGTGGACTGATGCTCGCGTTGGGCCCTTGAGCGAGGCTCTTCACCCCTAGTTGCTACATGGTGACTGACTCTGCGCTATGACCACCTATAAGCAGATATGACTGTATAGGGGCGGAGTTTGTCTGCTGTGTGATTACTGGTCACATGTCCGTTTTGGTGCCAGTTATGTGCACGATAAGACGTGACCTACGTGCCACTTTGCGGTGTCGTGCTGTTAGCTGGAGTAGCATGATGTTCTCCGTGTGATCCCAACTTCTCCCTCCTCTCCCTCCTGTCTTCCCTTCATCCTAAACCCGGCCTGTCCCCCTGTCATCCCGCTGCGTCCCACACAGGAGCCGAGGTGTCCTTCGGTCGCCAAGTCACCCATGTCCAGCGGAAGGGGCCAGGCTGGGAGGTGTGCGTGAAGGGTGGGCAGGCAGAGAGCTTTGACGCCGTGGTCCTCACAGTACCCGTCCCTCAGATCCTCCAGCTGCGGGGAGACGTGCCGTCCCGTAAGTCCCCCCCCTCCCCCCCTGAGGCAGGCATTGTTAGCTGTAGCTCGGGGCTGTTATGATGCTGGCAGCATGGACCGTTGGCACTCAGGTGTGCTGTCTCTATGGCGCAGCCCCCGGCTTCACACTAACACGCCCATATAAGGGTTATGCCCTCTGTGCAGTGCAGTCACATGGTGTCACATGACCTGTTCTCTGAAAACATTACTTGATTAGTCTCGATGATACTCATAGGGTAATGAATACGTCCAGGGCTTCTCCTTTCTTCAAAAACTCTTCAAATAAATGTGTAAATTGTTTAAATATGAATACAAAAACCTATCTCCATTCTATGGAGAGCCATTCCTCGGATGAGATTTCCCTGGCTTCTCGATGACAGACTTTTAAAGAACCGTCCGGTTAATTAAACAGGCGTGTTCGCTGTTTTGCTGCAGATACAAACTTTCTTCGGGTCACCGGGCCTGCTTGTTTATCCGTTTGTAAATTGTTTTTATTTGAGCAGCATACCTTTCTGGAACAGGGTGTCCAAGAGGGGACCAGAAATATTCCGAAATCAGGATTTACTGAAGATTTAAGTAGGGGGGTCACTGTTACATGACACGTGTGAATATGACATGTCAGACCCCTAGGTTTGATAACATGGTCCTGTTTGTGATGTCAGAGTGGAACCTTCCAATCACAAGCATAGATATTCTGGCAAACGTGACATTCTGTCTCTTAGAGTAAATAAAAGTGAGCGTTAGGCAGGTAGGGAATGGAAATGTGCCCTAGGACAGCTTTACACTGTGAATAGCCACAGACTATTCATGTCACAATAAACTGCGGCTTCACTTCAATTAATAAAAGCAAGTATGTTTTATTATATATTAATAAAATATGTCATTCTGTCTACTGGCGCACAGTTTATTTTCAGACATTCTAAAACATCTGGTGTAAAAAAATATATATAGAAATATTTGCTTGGATGGACTTGACAGTCTTTGGTGATAGATAAGGTCGTAATTAAACAGTGCTTTCCATCTGTTCCCAAATGGTTTCATGCAGGGAAAATAGCTGTAGTTATGCATCCTGCGGTCTGTTTCATATTTTGATTTGGGGATTTTTGTCTGCACCATGTGAAATATGACATGTCCATAGATGAGGGGAGGGGTTCTTGTGTATAGTGCCTTTTAAAGGAAAATGCAACAACTGATTAAAATCAACTGCTACTATTATTACTGTTACTAACAGCAATAACAATGGTCTGTGGTTTCTTGGCACAGTCCAGTTATGATTGTGTATGATTGCGTGTGTGTATGATTCTGTGTGCTCCCTGTGATGGATCAGCATCCTGTTTAGGGTGGACCTCTGCATTTCTCCCAGTGATGCTTGGGATAGGCTCCAGGTAATCATGTGACCCGGACCAGCATACGCGGTTCGACAATGGACAATGATAGAATAACGATCAGAATAATTAGTTGTAGCTTACACAAGCTCCTACTGAGCTGGATCCCACAGCACAAAAAAGCAACCATTGCAAGAGTGCTTTGTGAACTTGATTGGTCTTAAGCAGGTCTTTAAGACACTTATAGATCAAAGGGCCGCAGGAAGACCGCGGAAGCCTGTGCAACTAGTATGTATCCCTGGCCCATATTAGTTAGAAGCTTTCCTTTTCAGCCCCGTCTCCCTTCAGACCTTGTGGGGTGAGTCACTCTGATGATACCTTCTGAAATATTTCCAATAGCTTTGATTAATCTCTCCTCCGCATTCATTACTTCTGACCTATATTTGGAAATCGGAAGTTAGTGTCAGGGCTAAAGCACGCAGCCGCCGTTCCGTACGATCCGTGAACGGCCTTTGATGCTGACTGTAAGCCGTGTCTATTTCCGAAGCGCTGAACCCTTTTGCCTAAATGATTTCGTAAGGGTTGTGAGTCCACAGTGGTGTGTAGTTATCGTGTGTTTGGCTGGCAGTCTGCGTGTCTCTTTAGCGGAAGCTAAACAATAAAGGTCTTGAAGATGGTGACGGCTTTGAATTTTGATCGATGTCTTGATCGAGTTTAAAGCAAGAGTGTCCCCTTAGCTTGGGCTGACGGCAGAGCGATCAGAATCAGGTGGGCCTTCACCTGCTCGCTGCAAATACCTCACGTTGTCACCTGGATTGGTATTTGCTGAATGATGCTGCGAGCTGAATGCAAACATTTTTTTATTGTATTACGCAAGTTCCAAAGGACAGATATGGAAATTACACTGTAAGGCCTCAACCCCCAACCTCACTAGCCACCACCCCCCACCCAGGCACACACAGTTTCTGGAAAACTTGAATAATTCAAGAAACGGAAAGACTGGCATCACTCAAAATAAATATTATATTTAAATTTAAATGACAAAAAAGGAAGAGAATCTAAAAATCTAGAAGTCAAGAAAGGCCCTTTTCATCTTCGCCATGAGGATAATCTGAGAAAAGGAAGCACCACAACCTCCATTTGGGAGAGGGGGGCGCTGTTTTCACTTTCGCCTGGTGAGGTTACCCTAAGGCCCCGTGATCCTCGGGGCAGCGAAGCAAGCAGATGAGTCAGGACTGAAAAGGAGGGAAGAGGGAAAAACAGGCCGGTTGTTTCCTTTACCACACGGATGACAAGTACTCTGGCTGAGAGCCAGCCTGCGGAGTCCTGAACGAGGGAGAAGAGATTTTGCGAACAAAATCCAGGTTTTACCAGAGGTGAAAGAGAGTGTGGTATAAGGAAACATAATGCGAACAATTGGGGGTGCTTAATTTTTGCCACATAATGTCGCTAAAAAGGCATATGAAAGGAGCAGGCACTGCTGAAGGCTGTTCAGAAATGGGCCCAAATTTCTTTTGGGCATTTTCACAGAGGTGACACTGGAGATTCAAATCTCGGAGACTTCCTGTGGCGATCACATCCGTGGATTTGAGGGATCGCTTACTTCCGCTGCTTTGTCCGTCGTTTGCTTTACAGACTTGGCTAAAAGGCTAAAGGCTAACGTTACGGAGTGCCAGAAAAGGCCCAAGCCTTTAGGCATGTGTGGAGTACACACAAGGGGAATTCATCTTTTTCGTGAGCTCCTGGGTGTCTTTACCCCATCGCCGTTCATGCCGTGTATAAATAACGAGTGGTCTTTCGTTATAGCTGCCGTAAGGATCGCTAAAGGCGTTCATCATGTTTGTCGCTATGCAAAATTCTTAGTCATAGCTACCTCTTCATTCCCACTGCCTGTTAGCTGCGACCCCCCCCCCCCCAAAAAAAAAAATGTGGGCGAATCCCCACCCCCCCCCCCCCCCCCCACCGTCTCTTGAGGAAGGGGTGCATTATCCATGGAAACAGAGAGTGGCCCGCGCTTCAAAGTCACCTTCTGAGGCGGCGGTGGTGGCGGTTGGGGGGAGTTTGGTGGGGGGGGGGGGATGGGTGACATTGTTTGCTTTGGAGATTCCGGCTCAGGCACAGTGCCACGTTTTCCTGGCCATATGTTTAGATTCTGATACATGACTAATTCAACCCCCACTCCTGTCATTCAGGGCTCTCAGATAAGCAGCTTACATCTGGGGGGGGGGGGGGGGGGAGCAAGAGGAGGGCGTTAAAAGGTGGAACGCATTGATTAGTTTTAATATTGTTGGATGACTGCCGGTTATCATGGCAGAGAGGTGGGGGTTAGGCATGATCCAACTTATGCTGGCGCACGTTTAGAAAGTTGCTCTCTGAGCACTTTTCCCGAAAAATATTGAGCTTGTGACCGTGGTCGTCATCAGCGGTTCAATTAGGCCGTCACAGTTTTTATACGTGCAATTTAAACAAAGAAAAAATGCTGCAATACCGTGTCGAGATCTCATCCCTTGCCAAGAACAATTTGTGTCTTGTGAATTTTATATCGTCTCTTCGTTAAGAGTAACACTAACAGCTGGAGAAGCTGACGACTTTTGCTCTGATTTCCTAATTAGCGAGAACTCCATCAGAAGAGCTTTTTTTAGACCCATGGGTTTTTATGACAGGAGGACGCCTCAATGTGGAGAGGTTCTGTTATCCATTAGTGTCGCGTTGGGGGAAAAAAGCTCAGTGGTATGTTGGGCCATCATATTGATTAATTATTCTGTGTTTCCCTTTTAATGTTCTGGAATTCTGGTATTATCTTAAGGAGTGGCGTGTATCCATGCATTACCAGTAAGAGTTCAGTGCAGCAGAGTAATCAGAAACATAGCTGTAGGTTCATTCAGGAGGTGACTATGAACGAGTCTGCAGCCAGAGTAAAGGTGGAAGTGGTGACACGCAGTGACAGATCTGGCCAGTGGGGGGCAGCAGATAGGTGTTAGGAGGTCCCAGTTACACATGCAAGAGTATGCAATCTGGAAATAATTTGAGCAGAATCAAGCTGCAGAAAGAAGAAGAAGAAAAAAAAACTGCACGCTTCACACTTCCGCTTTTTTATGGGAGTTCTTCAAAATTCACGAAAGTATGCAGCGTGCCACGCCGGGAGATTTTTTTGCCGCGTCGATTGACGCAGGATCTTTTTCGGGGACGCCTGCGTGTGGAATCGGCATGGAGTGGGTTCAGGTGTAAACTGCTGGGGATGGGTCGGCAGGGAAGGCTGAAGGTTGGCCGAAACTGTGACAAATCGTGGTTAATTGATCCAAAGTACCAAAAAAAAGTTACACTCGAACAAACGCGCGTGTGGTTTTTTATGTGAAAGACCTGCTTCAAGGAATCAACTTCAATTGCCACTGTGATGGGCTTTGAGTGTTTTGCACAACTAACCAGTAAAAACATAAAGGAAAGTATTTAAATTTAGCCCCTATGTTAAATTTGGGTATAGAAGATAATCACTATTGTAGAAAGGCTTCACATCATCAACAAAATAAAAACGTTTTATCTTCTATACCCACTGTGTATATAGTGCCCGGTTAGCTAGTTCACCTGCCCTTCCTCTGGCCCTCCTACACCATACGGTCTCTGGTTTAGACATCTATCCATCTGGAGCTGTGAGCTTCCCCTGTGAAATGTTTTCAAC